CCGTGCGAGCCCTTTTCAGAGTAAACTTAGGTTGCTGAGTTTCCTGTTGGACGGCACCTGAACAAGTTTGTGTTAAAATTTATAAACCGTGAAAATCTTAATTGTAAACTTACTTGTAGTGACTCGGCTGGTGCTCGGCTGTTGGTAAATGGGCAGATTGTATTGCTGAGATGCATAACTCCAGTCAGGTCAGGTCAGGTCCGGTCAGGTCAGGTCAGGTCAGGTCCCAGGGGAGAAGCCAAACTCCTACTGGGCGCGTCCCCCGGGTGGCGGATAGGGGAAGCCCTCACCGGCTTTGCCGGCGGGTTACGGTGAAATAAAATAGCCGTCGCGGACCAAATAGAGCAGCGGAGGAGACAACCTCCAGGAATAAAAAACACAGACGAAGACCCCAGCCATGATCACGGACATGATTTCGGTTTTTAGCTAGTAAGTATGTGCCGCTCTTTGTAAAAAGCCCCCTCACCACGACAAGGTGGCGGCACATCGAGGGGGGACTAGCGTAACGGATATGGCATGGACACGGACTTGACTTAGCCTCACGACCCGAAGGCGGGTGGTGGAGCGTAGCCACCCGGACACACACCGTAACCAAGGCCCACATTCAACAACCGCCGTTGAGCGCGGCGGCGGTACGTCTGTGGGGACCCTTGGCCGGGGGGCTTGCCTTAATCGGCCGGCCCGCGAGGACAAATCCTCTATAAAAGAAGGAGAAGGAAAACTCGAAACCCTTTGGGGCACCTGGCGCACCCCATCGGAGTCTTCGGACAAGCCTTCCTCTCGGTACGGGCGCACTGCCGGGAGGTGACCTTCATTTCGACCCTACTCGTGGGACTAATATGAGCACAATAACTAGTAATACTAATGAAGATAATGGAAAGGAAATAAGCCGAATCAGCGCTGACCAACAAAATGTGGCCTCTCTAGAAGAGGTTAAACATGTAAAAGAAGACACGTTAGTAAAGTCGCTAAGTGAAGAAGAAATTAGAGAGGCAGAAGAAGAACTGATTAAAGAATTTGAGGCAAAACAAAGAAGAAACTCAATAATAAGATCCCCAGTGGGAACACCCTCAGGAAGTGTAGAGAGTGTTTTAATATCAGAAGACGAATTACCAAGCAACAGGCCAACAAAAAAAAAAGAAGAGCAATAGAAAGTCCCCAGTTGGAAAACTGCACAGATGAGACAATGGAGAGACTACGTAAGGTAGCAAAAGAACTAGTCAATTTCAACAATGAAAACAAAAATGTACATAAAACAGTCAAGAAACTAAGCAAAACCATATATGACATCACAAGAGAAAGAAAGGGAGGTGAGGTGTGCCGACAACTTACTGACAGATACGGAAAAGACCAAGAGACCACAGAAATAGAAACGCAACTAGAGGAGATAAAGCAGAAGATGGCCCAGATGGAAGAAGAATATAACAACAGAATAACAGAACAAGAGAAAATCATCGCTGAACTAAAAATGACTGCAACAGACAACCTGTGTCAGAAATGCAAAAACGGAGTAAATAAGGAAATAGATCTGTCAGAAACAATAACTGAGACATACGAAGATTTTGTTCGTATAAAAGACGAGAGATGGACTGAATCAAGCTATCGCGCAACAACTATGGAGACAGAAAATACCACAAAAGTCTGGGGAGATAATCTAATCATATTTTGGGACCAGGTGGAGAAAAATCGAAGCAATAGATGTAAAGAAGTCATAAAAAGCTACCCGGAAGTCCTAGAGACTGAAAAAGTTACTAGCCAAGGAGGAGAATATGCAGAAATTAAACAGTGCATAACGTACAGGACCGCAAATGGCATAAGAACAAAAGGCAGAAGTATAGTGACAATCTTCTATGACTCAACTTTAGAAGAAATGCAGAAGGAGAGGGACATGTTCGATATATTGACCGAAATCAAAAGATTATCAATTAGTGAAAAGCGACAAAATTTAGAAATTGTACTCCCGCAGGAAGAATCTATAACAAAAATGAGGAAAATGATAGAGGCAATACTTAAAGAAACAAACATCAAGGCGACACTAATAGCAAAGACAAAATGGGGAGGAAAAAATCTGACAAGTCATCCCTTAAACAGAGGAGAGGCCATATTAGTGACCCTTGGAAAAACAGAAAATCAAACTAACGACTATGCGGAAACGCTGAAGAAAATTAAAAGTAACATAAAAGACGACATGCTTCTAAAAGAAATTAAGAGTGTACGCAAAACCGCTAAAGGCGATCTGATAGTCTCGACAAAAGAAGGTAGTGGAAAGCTGACAGAAAAGATACAAGGGATACTACAAGGGCAAAATGTTAGACAGCTAAAGGCTTACAGGACCAAGATATTACACCTGAGGTATGTAGAACCGTCCGCAGAAGAAGCAGAAATTAGGGACGCAATAGTATACACAGGAATGATACAAACTAATGATGCGCTAGTAATAAAATCAAGAAGACCCGACAGGACTGGGAACCAGACGGTAACCATCCAAGCAGAAGAAAAAGACGCGGAAAGACTAATACAAGCTGACCGTATCAGGATTGGATTAGGCAACTGCAAAATCCAAGAAAGGGTAGTAGTGACACACTGTTACCGATGCTGGGCATATGACCATAAAATTAAAGACTGTAAAGGAGAAGACAGATCGCAAAAATGCCGTAGATGTGCAGGAGAAGGACACTTCGAAAAAACATGCAGAGAAGAAGCACAGTGCCCGCTGTGTGGAAAAGTAGGACACAAAGTCGGGAGCGGCGCATGTGATGCATTCAGAAATGCGTTAAAAGTTGGGAGACAAAAGGAAAGTGGTGAAATCGTAGGGACGTCCCTAGTTTAAAGCTTTAAAAACCTAACAAAAAAAAAAAAAAAAAAAAAACCAAAACAAGCACAGTATGAATGGAAGGGAGAGCAAGGAGACGATCGTGTTGCAGGTGAATGTGCAAAGAAAGGGAGTGGCAATGGACGTGATGTGGAAGACGGTGCAAGAGGAAGGAGTGAATGTACTGGTTGTGTCTGAACCGAACAAAAAGAGAGTGAAAGGGGTGGAGTGGATGACGGATGTGAGAGAGGATGTAGCGGTGAGAGTGTTTGGACGACATGAAAGGGGAGAGAGGTTTGGGAAGGGCGAAGGTTTTGTATGGATCAAGTTTAATGAATGGGTATTGTATGGATGCTATATATCTCCCAATACTGGTATTGAGAGATATACAAAGTTCCTGGGTGATCTAGGTGAAAGTGTGAACAAATGGGAGGGGGAGGTGGTGGTCGCAGGGGACTTCAATGCGAAGTCACCCCTGTGGGGCTCCCCCATAACGAATGATTTGCGAGGTAGTTTGCTTGAGGACTGGATGGCTGAGAGGTGCATGGTATGTCACAATTGCGGAAATGCCCCCACCTTCCTGCGAGGAGCTCAGAAGTCGCACATCGACCTGACCCTCAGCACGGAAGGGGTGGCTAGAAGAATGAAAGAGTGGAGAGTGCTAGAACAGGAGAATTTGAGCGATCACCAGGACATAGTATGGGTGCTGGGTACGACAGGAGAGTGCGAGAGAGGAGAGGACAGAATGAAGGAACGGGGATGGAGTGTTGCAGAAGAGAAGATGGAAAGACTGGTTGAGGTGATGAAGGAGAGGGTGAAGACGATGGATAAATGCAAGGACCTGGTGTGTGAGACGAAGAGAGTACTAGAGGAAACGTGCGATAGGGTCTTAAAAAAAAAGGGATGCATGGGGAAAAGAAAAGGAGTGTATTGGTGGACGGAAGAGATTGCGAATAAAAGGAAGGAATGCTTGAGAAAGAGAAGGGAGTGGATGAGGTGCAAAAAAAAGGAAAGAGACACAGAAATAGAAACCGAAAAAGGCAAGGAGTACAGACAAAACAAAAAGGAACTTACGATGATGATCAAAAGATCAAAAGAAAAGGAATGGAAGAGAGTATGTGAGGAAGTAGATAGGAATGTGTGGGGAGAAGGATACAAGATAGTAACTAAATGGATGGGAAGAGGAATGAGCGGTACTGCGTGTGGTGAGAATGTAATGGAGGAAGCCCGTAAGCTCTTCCCCGAGCACGGGCCTCTAGAGTGGACGGATCTGGTGGTGGACGGACTGGTGCCAGCCTTCACCTCCGAAGAGCTGCAGGAGGCGGCCGGGAGGTTAAGGAAGGGCAAGGCGCCGGGTCCGGACAAGATACCACCAGAGGTATGCAAGACATATGCCAAAGAATGTGGAAAAGAATGTCTGGAGGTCATGAATAGATGTCTGGAGGAAGGGGTTGTTCCCAAAGAATGGAAGGTGGCGAAATTGGTGCTGATAGAGAAAGAAAGAAAGGAAGGAGAGAATGCGAAATATAGGCCCATCTGTCTGCTGAACGGGATGGGCAAGCTGTACGAGGGAATGTTGGCCGCGAGACTGAGGAACGACGTTCGGAGGCTCGGTGGTCTGGCGGAGACGCAGTATGGATTCAGGGCGGGACGATCGACGATCGACGCCATGATGGATGCACGCGAGTACGCTAGAGGAGCAAACGTAGGTTCATGGGGTACCCGGCGGTTTTGTGTGATGGTGACAGTGGACGTCCGGAATGCCTTCAACACGGTATCGTGGAGGGGGATTCTGGAACGTCTGGTAAGTATGGGGGTGGAGCCGTATCTCGTGAACGTGGTGCGGTCCTACCTGAGCGATAGAGTGGTTCAAACGGGGATGGGTGAATTTGAAATGACTGCCGGGGTTCCACAGGGGTCGGTCTTGGGGCCGCTCCTGTGGAACATATTTTATGACGAGGTTTTAAGAATGGAGGTACCCGATGGGGTAAAGCTCATCGGGTACGCGGATGATTTAGCTGTGATTGTGATAGGTAAGAATGAAGAGGACCTGAGAGAAAGGACCGAAGAAGCACTGCGGCTCGTGGGTGCATGGATGGGGGACAACGGTCTCTCACTTGCACCCGAGAAGAAGTAATGCTAACGCGGTTCCAGGGGGGTTGGAGAACACCTGGTCGAGGAAGGGGTTTTAGCCGGTAAGAGTCCAGGCACTACCAGAGGCGATCGAACCTAAGTCTCTGGTGCCCATGAGGGTTTCCCCTTCCATAGAAAAAAAAAAAAAAAAAAAAAAAAAAGGTCAGGTCAGGTCAGGTCAGGTCAGGTCAGGTCGACCAGATTCTTTCTTATACTCATCCTTCTATTTTGGAACCAGATTTTTATTTGTCTTTCAGATAATTTTAATCTCTCCGCCAGATGAATCCTTCGGGGTCTCGTAAGATATTTACCTCTACTGAATTCTCGGTCGAGTTCTAAAATTTGTTGGGACGTATATGCCGTGCGAGCCCTTTTCGGAGTAAACTTAGGTTGCTGAGTTTCCTGTTGGACGGCACCTGAACAAGTTTGTGTTAAAATTTATAAACTATGAAAACCTTAATTGTAAACTTACTTGTAGTGACTTGGCTGGTGCTCGGCTGTTGGTAAATGGGCAGATTGTATTGCTGAGATGCATAACTCCAGTCAGGTCAGGTCAGGTCAGGTCGACCAGATTCTTTCTTATATTCATCCTTCTATTTTGGAACCAGATTTTTATTTGTCTTTCAGATAATTTTAATCTCTCCGCCAGAGGAATCTTTCGGGGTCTCGTAAGATATTTACCTCTACTGAATTCTCGGTCGAGTTCTAAAATTTGTTGGGACGTATATGCCGTGCGAGCCCTTTTCGGAGTAAACTTAGGTTGCTGAGTTTCCTGTTGGACGGCACCTGAACAAGTTTGTGTTAAAATTTATAAACTATGAAAATCTTAATTGTAAAGTTACTTGTAGTGACTTGGCTGGTGCTCGGCTGTTGGTAAATGGGCAGATTATATTGCTGAGATGCATAACTCCAGTCAGGTCAGGTCAGGTCAGGTCAGGTCGACCAGATTCTTTCTTATATTTCATCCTTCTATTTTGGAACCAGATTTTTATTTGTCTTTAAGATAATTTTAATCTCTCCGCCAGATGAATCCTTCGGGATCTCGTAAGATATTTACCTCTACTGAATTCTCGGTCGAGTTCTAAAAGTTGTTGGGACGTATATGCCGTGCGAGCCCTTTTAGGGTAAACTAAAGTTGCTGAGTTTCCTGTTGGACGGCACCTGAACAAGTTTGTGTTAAAATTTATAAACTATGAAAATCTTAATTGTAAACTTACTTGTAGTGACTTGGCTGGTGCTCGGCTGTTGGTAAATGGGCAGATTGTATTGCTGAGATGCATAACTCCAGTCAGGTCAGGTCAGGTCAAGTCGACCAGATTCTTTCCTATTTTTCATCCTTCTATTTTGGAACCAGATTTTTATTTGTCTTTCAGATAATTTTAATCTCTCCGCCAGATGAATCCTTCGGGGTCTCGTAAGATATTTACCTCTACTGAATTCTCGGTCGAGTTCTAAAAGTTGTTGGGACGTATATGCCGTGCGAGCCCTTTTCGGAGTAAACTTAGGTTGCTGAGTTTCCTGTTGGACGGCACCTGAACAAGTTTGTGTTAAAATTTATAAACTATGAAAATCTTAATTGTAAAGTTACTTGTAGTGACTTGGCTGGTGCTCGGCTGTTGGTAAATGGGCAGATTGTATTGCTGAGATGCATAACTCCAGTCAGGTCAGGTCAGGTCAGGTCAGGTCGACCAGATTCTTTCTTATATTTCATCCTTCTATTTTGGAACCAGATTTTTATTTGTCTTTCAGATAATTTTAATCTCTCGGCCAGATGAATCCTTCGGGATCTCGTAAGATATTTACCTCTACTGAATTCTCGGTCGAGTTCTGAAAGTTGTTGGGACGTATATGCCGTGCGAGCCCTTTTCGGAGTAAACTTAGGTTGCTGAGTTTCCTGTTGGACGGCACCTGAAAAAGTTTGTGTTAAAACTTATAAACTATGAAAATCTTAATTGTAAAGTTACTTGTAGTGACTTGGCTGGTGCTCGGCTGTTGGTAAATGGGCAGATTGTATTGCTGAGATGCATAACTCCAGTCAGGTCAGGTCAGGTCAGGTCAGGTCGACCAGATTCTTTCTTATATTTCATCCTTCTATTTTGGAACCAGATTTTTATTTGTCTTTCAGATAATTTTAATCTCTCCGCCAGATGAATCCTTCGGGGTCTCGTAAGATATTTACCTCTACTGAATTCTCGGTCGAGTTCTGAAAGTTGTTGGGACGTATATGCCGTGCGAGCCCTTTTCGGAGTAAACTTAGGTTGCTGAGTCTCCTGTTGGACGGCACCTGAAAAAGTTTGTGTTAAAACTTATAAACTATGAAAATCTTAATTGTACAGTTACTTGTAGTGACTTGGCTGGTGCTCGGCTGTTGGTAAACGGGCAGATTGTATTGCTGAGATGCATAACTCCAGTCAGGTCAGGTCAGGTCAGGTCAGGTCAGGTCAGGTCGACCAGATTCTTTCTTATATTCATCCTTCTATTTTGGAACCAGATTTTTATTTGTCTTTCAGATTATTTTAATCTCTCCGCCAGATGAATCCTTCGGGGTCTCGTAAGATATTTACCTCTACTGAATTCTCGGTCGAGTTCTAAAATTTGTTGGGACGTATATGCCGTGCGAGCCCTTTTCGGAGTAAACTTAGGTTGCTGAGTTTCCTGTTGGACGGCACCTGAACAAGTTTGTGTTAAAATTTATAAACTATGAAAATCTTAATTGTAAACTTACTTGTAGTGACTTGGCTGGTGCTCGACTGTTGGTAAATGGGCAGATTGTATTGCTGAGATGCATAACTCCAGGCAGGTCAGGTCAGGTCAGGTCAGGTCGACCAGATTCTTTCTTATATTTCATCCTTCTATTTTGGAACCAGATTTTTATTTGTCTTTCAGATAATTTTAATCTCTCCGCCAGATGAATCCTTCGGGGTCTCGTAAGATATTTACCTCTACTGAATTCTCGGTCGAGTTCTAAAAGTTGTTGGGACGTATATGCCGTGCGAGCCCTTTTCGGAGTAAACTTAGGTTGCTGAGTTTCCTGTTGGACGGCACCTGAACAAGTTTGTGTTAAAATTTATAAACCGTGAAAATCTTAATTGTAAACTTACTTGTAGTGACTCGGCTGGTGCTCGGCTGTTGGTAAATGGGCAGATTGTATTGCTGAGATGCATAACTCCAGTCAGGTCAGGTCAGGTCCGGTCAGGTCAGGTCAGGTCAGGTCAGGTCAGGTCAGGTCAGGTCGACCAGATTCTTTCTTATACTCATCCTTCTATTTTGGAACCAGATTTTTATTTGTCTTTCAGATAATTTTAATCTCTCCGCCAGATGAATCCTTCGGGGTCTCGTAAGATATTTACCTCTACTGAATTCTCGGTCGAGTTCTAAAATTTGTTGGGACGTATATGCCGTGCGAGCCCTTTTCGGAGTAAACTTAGGTTGCTGAGTTTCCTGTTGGACGGCACCTGAACAAGTTTGTGTTAAAATTTATAAACTATGAAAACCTTAATTGTAAACTTACTTGTAGTGACTTGGCTGGTGCTCGGCTGTTGGTAAATGGGCAGATTGTATTGCTGAGATGCATAACTCCAGTCAGGTCAGGTCAGGTCAGGTCGACCAGATTCTTTCTTATATTCATCCTTCTATTTTGGAACCAGATTTTTATTTGTCTTTCAGATAATTTTAATCTCTCCGCCAGAGGAATCCTTCGGGGTCTCGTAAGATATTTACCTCTACTGAATTCTCGGTCGAGTTCTAAAATTTGTTGGGACGTATATGCCGTGCGAGCCCTTTTCGGAGTAAACTTAGGTTGCTGAGTTTCCTGTTGGACGGCACCTGAACAAGTTTGTGTTAAAATTTATAAACCGTGAAAATCTTAATTGTAAACTTACTTGTAGTGACTCGGCTGGTGCTCGGCTGTTGGTAAATGGGCAGATTGTATTGCTGAGATGCATAACTCCAGTCAGGTCAGGTCAGGTCAGGTCAGGTCGACCAGATTCTTTCTTATATTTCATCCTTCTATTTTGGAACCAGATTTTTATTTGTCTTTAAGATAATTTTAATCTCTCCCCCAGATGAATCCTTCGGGATCTCGAAAGATATTTACCTCTACTGAATTCTCGGTCGAGTTCTAAAAGTTGTTGGGACGTATATGCCGTGCGAGCCCTTTTAGGGGTAAACTAAAGTTGCTGAGTTTCCTGTTGGACGGCACCTGAACAAGTTTGTGTTAAAATTTATAAACTATGAAAATCTTAATTGTAAAGTTACTTGTAGTGACTTGGCTGGTGCTCGGCTGTTGGTAAATGGGCAGATTGTATTGCTGAGATGCATAACTCCAGTCAGGTCAGGTCAGGTCAGGTCAGGTCGACCAGATTCTTTCTTATATTTCATCCTTCTATTTTGGAACCAGATTTTTATTTGTCTTTCAGATAATTTTAATCTCTCGGCCAGATGAATCCTTCGGGATCTCGTAAGATATTTACCTCTACTGAATTCTCGGTCGAGTTCTGAAAGTTGTTGGGACGTATATGCCGTGCGAGCCCTTTTCGGAGTAAACTTAGGTTGCTGAGTCTCCTGTTGGACGGCACCGGAAAAAGTTTGTGTTAAAACTTATAAACTATGAAAATCTTAATTGTAAAGTTACTTGTAGTGACTTGGCTGGTGCTCGGCTGTTGGTAAATGGGCAGATTGTATTGCTGAGATGCATAACTCCAGTCAGGTCAGGTCAGGTCAGGTCAGGTCGACCAGATTCTTTCTTATATTTCATCCTTCTATTTTGGAACCAGATTTTTATTTGTCTTTCAGATAATTTTAATCTCTCCGCCAGATGAATCCTTCGGGGTCTCGTAAGATATTTACCTCTACTGAATTCTCGGTCGAGTTCTGAAAGTTGTTGGGACGTATATGCCGTGCGAGCCCTTTTCGGAGTAAACTTAGGTTGCTGAGTCTCCTGTTGGACGGCACCTGAAAAAGTTTGTGTTAAAACTTATAAACTATGAAAATCTTAATTGTACAGTTACTTGTAGTGACTTGGCTGGTGCTCGGCTGTTGGTAAACGGGCAGATTGTATTGCTGAGATGCATAACTCCAGTCAGGTCAGGTCAGGTCAGGTCAGGTCGACCAGATTCTTTCTTATATTTCATCCTTCTATTTTGGAACCAGATTTTTATTTGTCTTTAAGATAATTTTAATCTCTCCGCCAGATGAATCCTTCGGGATCTCGTAAGATATTTACCTCTACTGAATTCTCGGTCGAGTTCTAAAAGTTGTTGGGACGTATATGCCGTGCGAGCCCTTTTAGGGGTAAACTAAAGTTGCTGAGTTTCCTGTTGGACGGCACCTGAACAAGTTTGTGTTAAAATTTATAAACTATGAAAATCTTAATTGTAAACTTACTTGTAGTGACTTGGCTGGTGCTCGGCTGTTGGTAAATGGGCAGATTGTATTGCTGAGATGCATAACTCCAGTCAGGTCAGGTCAGGTCAAGTCGACCAGATTCTTTCCTATTTTTCATCCTTCTATTTTGGAACCAGATTTTTATTTGTCTTTCAGATAATTTTAATCTCTCCGCCAGATGAATCCTTCGGGGTCTCGTAAGATATTTACCTCTACTGAATTCTCGGTCGAGTTCTAAAAGTTGTTGGGACGTATATGCCGTGCGAGCCCTTTTCGGAGTAAACTTAGGTTGCTGAGTTTCCTGTTGGACGGCACCTGAACAAGTTTGTGTTAAAATTTATAAACTATGAAAATCTTAATTGTAAAGTTACTTGTAGTGACTTGGCTGGTGCTCGGCTGTTGGTAAATGGGCAGATTGTATTGCTGAGATGCATAACTCCAGTCAGGTCAGGTCAGGTCAGGTCAGGTCGACCAGATTCTTTCTTATATTTCATCCTTCTATTTTGGAACCAGATTTTTATTTGTCTTTCAGATAATTTTAATCTCTCGGCCAGATGAATCCTTCGGGATCTCGTAAGATATTTACCTCTACTGAATTCTCGGTCGAGTTCTGAAAGTTGTTGGGACGTATATGCCGTGCGAGCCCTTTTCGGAGTAAACTTAGGTTGCTGAGTCTCCTGTTGGACGGCACCTGAAAAAGTTTGTGTTAAAACTTATAAACTATGAAAATCTTAATTGTAAAGTTACTTGTAGTGACTTGGCTGGTGCTCGGCTGTTGGTAAATGGGCAGATTGTATTGCTGAGATGCATAACTCCAGTCAGGTCAGGTCAGGTCAGGTCAGGTCGACCAGATTCTTTCTTATATTTCATCCTTCTATTTTGGAACCAGATTTTTATTTGTCTTTCAGATAATTTTAATCTCTCCGCCAGATGAATCCTTCGGGGTCTCGTAAGATATTTACCTCTACTGAATTCTCGGTCGAGTTCTGAAAGTTGTTGGGACGTATATGCCGTGCGAGCCCTTTTCGGAGTAAACTTAGGTTGCTGAGTTTCCTGTTGGACGGCACCTGAACAAGTTTGTGTTAAAATTTATAAACTATGAAAATCTTAATTGTACAGTTACTTGTAGTGACTTGGCTGGTGCTCGGCTGTTGGTAAACGGGCAGATTGTATTGCTGAGATGCATAACTCCAGTCAGGTCAGGTCAGGTCAGGTCAGGTCAGGTCAGGTCGACCAGATTCTTTCTTATATTCATCCTTCTATTTTGGAACCAGATTTTTATTTGTCTTTCAGATTATTTTAATCTCTCCGCCAGATGAATCCTTCGGGGTCTCGTAAGATATTTACCTCTACTGAATTCTCGGTCGAGTTCTAAAATTTGTTGGGACGTATATGCCGTGCGAGCCCTTTTCGGAGTAAACTTAGGTTGCTGAGTTTCCTGTTGGACGGCACCTGAACAAGTTTGTGTTAAAATTTATAAACTATGAAAATCTTAATTGTAAAGTTACTTGTAGTGACTTGGCTGGTGCTCGGCTGTTGGTAAATGGGCAGATTGTATTGCTGAGATGCATAACTCCAGTCAGGTCAGGTCAGGTTAGGTCAGGTCGACCAGATTCTTTCTTATATTTCATCCTTCTATTTTGGAACCAGATTTTTATTTGTCTTTCAGATAATTTTAATCTCTCCGCCAGATGAATCCTTCGGGGTCTCGTAAGATATTGACCTCTACTGAATTCTCGGTCGAGTTCTGAAAGTTGTTGGGACGTATATGCCGTGCGAGCCCTTTTCGGAGTAAACTTAGGTTGCTGAGTCTCCTGTTGGACGGCATCTGAAAAAGTTTGTGTTAAAACTTATAAACTATGAAAATCTTAACTGTAAAGTTACTTGTAGTGACTTGGCTGGTGCTCGGCTGTTGGTAAATGGGCAGATTGTATTGCTGAGATGCATAACTCCAGTCAGGTCAGGTCAGGTCAGGTCAGGTCAGGTCAGGTCGACCAGATTCTTTCTTATATTCATCCTTCTATTTTGGAACCAGATTTTTATTTGTCTTTCAGATAATTTTAATCTCTCCGCCAGATGAATCCTTCGGGGTCTCGTAAGATATTTACCTCTACTGAATTCTCGGTCGAGTTCTAAAATTTGTTGGGACGTATATGCCGTGCGAGCCCTTTTCGGAGTAAACTTAGGTTGCTGAGTTTCCTGTTGGACGGCACCTGAACAAGTTTGTGTTAAAATTTATAAACTATGAAAATCTTAATTGTAAAGTTACTTGTAGTGACTTGGCTGGTGCTCGGCTGTTGGTAAATGGGCAGATTGTATTGCTGAGATGCATAACTCCAGTCAGGTCAGGTCAGGTCAGGTCAGGTCGACCAGATTCTTTCTTATATTTCATCCTTCTATTTTGGAACCAGATTTTTATTTGTCTTTAAGATAATTTTAATCTCTCCGCCAGATGAATCCTTCGGGATCTCGTAAGATATTTACCTCTACTGAATTCTCGGTCGAGTTCTAAAAGTTGTTGGGACGTATATGCCGTGCGAGCCCTTTTAGGGGTAAACTAAAGTTGCTGAGTTTCCTGTTGGACGGCACCTGAACAAGTTTGTGTTAAAATTTATAAACTATGAAAATCTTAATTGTAAAGTTACTTGTAGTGACTTGGCTGGTGCTCGGCTGTTGGTAAATGGGCAGATTGTATTGCTGAGATGCATAACTCCAGTCAGGTCAGGTCAGGTCAGGTCAGGTCGACCAGATTCTTTCTTATATTTCATCCTTCTATTTTGGAACCAGATTTTTATTTGTCTTTCAGATAATTTTAATCTCTCCGCCAGATGAATCCTTCGGGGTCTCGTAAGATATTTACCTCTACTGAATTCTCGGTCGAGTTCTAAAAGTTGTTGGGACGTATATGCCGTGCGAGCCCTTTTCGGAGTAAACTTAGGTTGCTGAGTTTCCTGTTGGACGGCACCTGAACAAGTTTGTGTTAAAATTTATAAACCGTGAAAATCTTAATTGTAAACTTACTTGTAGTGACTCGGCTGGTGCTCGGCTGTTGGTAAATGGGCAGATTGTATTGCTGAGATGCATAACTCCAGTCAGGTCAGGTCAGGTCCGGTCAGGTCAGGTCAGGTCAGGTCAGGTCAGGTCAGGTCAGGTCGACCAGATTCTTTCTTATACTCATCCTTCTATTTTGGAACCAGATTTTTATTTGTCTTTCAGATAATTTTAATCTCTCCGCCAGATGAATCCTTCGGGGTCTCGTAAGATATTTACCTCTACTGAATTCTCGGTCGAGTTCTAAAATTTGTTGGGACGTATATGCCGTGCGAGCCCTTTTCGGAGTAAACTTAGGTTGCTGAGTTTCCTGTTGGACGGCACCTGAACAAGTTTGTGTTAAAATTTATAAACTATGAAAACCTTAATTGTAAACTTACTTGTAGTGACTTGGCTGGTGCTCGGCTGTTGGTAAATGGGCAGATTGTATTGCTGAGATGCATAACTCCAGTCAGGTCAGGTCAGGTCAGGTCGACCAGATTCTTTCTTATATTCATCCTTCTATTTTGGAACCAGATTTTTATTTGTCTTTCAGATAATTTTAATCTCTCCGCCAGAGGAATCCTTCGGGGTCTCGTAAGATATTTACCTCTACTGAATTCTCGGTCGAGTTCTAAAATTTGTTGGGACGTATATGCCGTGCGAGCCCTTTTCGGAGTAAACTTAGGTTGCTGAGTTTCCTGTTGGACGGCACCTGAACAAGTTTGTGTTAAAATTTATAAACTATGAAAATCTTAATTGTAAAGTTACTTGTAGTGACTTGGCTGGTGCTCGGCTGTTGGTAAATGGGCAGATTGTATTGCTGAGATGCATAACTCCAGTCAGGTCAGGTCAGGTCAGGTCAGGTCGACCAGATTCTTTCTTATATTTCATCCTTCTATTTTGGAACCAGATTTTTATTTGTCTTTAAGATAATTTTAATCTCTCCGCCAGATGAATCCTTCGGGATCTCGTAAGATATTTACCTCTACTGAATTCTCGGTCGAGTTCTAAAAGTTGTTGGGACGTATATGCCGTGCGAGCCCTTTTAGGGGTAAACTAAAGTTGCTGAGTTTCCTGTTGGACGGCACCTGAACAAGTTTGTGTTAAAATTTATAAACTATGAAAATCTTAATTGTAAACTTACTTGTAGTGACTTGGCTGGTGCTCGGCTGTTGGTAAATGGGCAGATTGTATTGCTGAGATGCATAACTCCAGTCAGGTCAGGTCAGGTCAAGTCGACCAGATTCTTTCCTATTTTTCATCCTTCTATTTTGGAACCAGATTTTTATTTGTCTTTCAGATAATTTTAATCTCTCCGCCAGATGAATCCTTCGGGGTCTCGTAAGATATTTACCTCTACTGAATTCTCGGTCGAGTTCTAAAAGTTGTTGGGACGTATATGCCGTGCGAGCCCTTTTCGGAGTAAACTTAGGTTGCTGAGTTTCCTGTTGGACGGCACCTGAACAAGTTTGTGTTAAAATTTATAAACTATGAAAATCTTAATTGTAAAGTTACTTGTAGTGACTTGGCTGGTGCTCGGCTGTTGGTAAATGGGCAGATTGTATTGCTGAGATGCATAACTCCAGTCAGGTCAGGTCAGGTCCGGTCAGGTCGACCAGATTCTTTCTTATATTTCATCCTTCTATTTTGGAACCAGATTTTTATTTGTCTTTCAGATAATTTTAATCTCTCGGCCAGATGAATCCTTCGGGATCTCGTAAGATATTTACCTCTACTGAATTCTCGGTCGAGTTCTGAAAGTTGTTGGGACGTATATGCCGTGCGAGCCCTTTTCGGAGTAAACTTAGGTTGCTGAGTCTCCTGTTGGACGGCACCTGAAAAAGTTTGTGTTAAAACTTATAAACTATGAAAATCTTAATTGTAAAGTTACTTGTAGTGACTTGGCTGGTGCTCGGCTGTTGGTAAATGGGCAGATTGTATTGCTGAGATGCATAACTCCAGTCAGGTCAGGTCAGGTCAGGTCAGGTCAGGTCAGGTCGACCAGATTCTTTCTTATATTCATCCTTCTATTTTGGAACCAGATTTTTATTTGTCTTTCAGATAATTTTAATCTCTCCGCCAGATGAATCCTTCGGGGTCTCGTAAGATATTTACCTCTACTGAATTCTCGGTCGAGTTCTAAAATTTGTTGGGACGTATATGCCGTGCGAGCCCTTTTCGGAGTAAACTTAGGTTGCTGAGTTTCCTGTTGGACGGCACCTGAACAAGTTTGTGTTAAAATTTATAAACTATGAAAACCTTAATTGTAAACTTACTTGTAGTGACTTGGCTGGTGCTCGGCTGTTGGTAAATGGGCAGATTGTATTGCTGAGATGCATAACTCCAGTCAGGTCAGGTCAGGTCAGGTCGACCAGATTCTTTCTTATATTCATCCTTCTATTTTTGAACCAGATTTTTATTTGTCTTTCAGGTAATTTTAATCTCTCCGCCAGATGAATCCTTCGGGGTCTCGTAAGATATTTACCTCTACTGAATTCTCGGTCGAGTTCTAAAAGTTGTTGGGACGTATATGCCGTGCGAGCCCTTTTCGGAGTAAACTTGGGTTGCTGAGTTTCCTGTTGGACGGCACCTGAACAAGTTTGTATTAAAATTTATAAACTATGAAAATCTTAATTGTAAAGTTACTTGTAGTGACTTGGCTGGTGCTCGGCTGTTGGTAAATGGGCAGATTGTATTGCTGAGATGCATAACTCCAGTCAGGTCAGGTCAGGTTAGGTCAGGTCGACCAGATTCTTTCTTATATTTCATCCTTCTATTTTGGAACCAGATTTTTATTTGTCTTTCAGATAATTTTAATCTCTCCGCCAGATGAATCCTTCGGGGTCTCGTAAGATATTTACCTCTACTGAATTCTCGGTCGAGTTCTGAAAGTTGTTGGGACGTATATGCCGTGCGAGCCCTTTTCGGAGTAAACTTAGGTTGCTGAGTCTCCTGTTGGACGGCATCTGAAAAAGTTTGTGTTAAAACTTATAAACTATGAAAATCTTAATTGTAAAGTTACTTGTAGTGACTTGGCTGGTGCTCGGCTGTTGGTAAATGGGCAGATTGTATTGCTGAGATGCATAACTCCAGTCAGGTCAGGTCAGGTCAGGTCAGGTCAGGTCAGGTCGACCAGATTCTTTCTTATATTCATCCTTCTATTTTGGAACCAGATTTTTATTTGTCTTTCAGATAATTTTAATCTCTCCGCCAGATGAATCCTTCGGGGTCTCGTAAGATATTTACCTCTACTGAATTCTCGGTCGAGTTCTAAAATTTGTTGGGACGTATATGCCGTGCGAGCCCTTTTCGGAGTAAACTTAGGTTGCTGAGTTTCCTGTTGGACGGCACCTGAACAAGTTTGTGTTAAAATTTATAAACTACGAAAATCTTAATTGTAAACTTACTTGTAGTGACTTGGCTGGTGCTCGACTGTTGGTAAATGGGCAGATTGTATTGCTGAGATGCATAACTCCAGTCAGGTCAGGTCAGGTCAGGTCAGGTCGACCAGATTCTTTCTTATATTTCATCCTTCTATTTTGGAACCAGATTTTTATTTGTCTTTCAGATAATTTTAATCTCTCCGCCAGATGAATCCTTCGGGGTCTCGTAAGATATTTACCTCTACTGAATTCTCGGTCGAGTTCTAAAAGTTGTTGGGACGTATATGCCGTGCGAGCCCTTTTCGGAGTAAACTTAGGTTGCTGAGTTTCCTGTTGGACGGCACCTGAACAAGTTTGTGTTAAAATTTATAAACCGTGAAAATCTTAATTGTAAACTTACTTGTAGTGACTTGGCTGGTGCTCGGCTGTTGGTAAATGGGCAGATTGTATTGCTGAGATGCATAACTCCAGTCAGGTCAGGTCAGGTCAGGTCAGGTCAGGTCAGGTCGACCAGATTCTTTCTTATACTCATCCTTCTATTTTGGAACCAGATTTTTATTTGTCTTTCAGATAATTTTAATCTCTCCGCCAGATGAATCCTTCGGGGTCTCGTAAGATATTTACCTCTACTGAATTCTCGGTCGAGTTCTAAAATTTGTTGGGACGTATATGCCGTGCGAGCCCTTTTCGGAGTAAACTTAGGTTGCTGAGTTTCCTGTTGGACGGCACCTGAACAAGTTTGTGTTAAAATTTATAATCTATGAAAACCTTAATTGTAAACTTACTTGTAGTGACTTGGCTGGTGCTCGGCTGTTGGTAAATGGGCAGATTGTATTGCTGAGATGCATAACTCCAGTCAGGTCAGGTCAGGTCAGGTCGACCAGATTCTTTCTTATATTCATCCTTCTATTTTGGAACCAGATTTTTATTTGTCTTTCAGATAATTTTAATCTCTCCGCCAGATGAATCCTTCGGGGTCTCGGAAGATATTTACCTCTACTGAATTCTCGGTCGAGTTCTAAAATTTGTTGGGACGTATATGCCGTGCGAGCCCTTTTCGGAGTAAACTTAGGTTGCTGAGTTTCCTGTTGGACGGCACCTGAACAAGTTTGTGTTAAAATTTATAAACTATGAAAACCTTAATTGTAAACTTACTTGTAGTGACTTGGCTGGTGCTCGGCTGTTGGTAAATGGGCAGATTGTATTGCTGAGATGCATAACTCCAGTCAGGTCAGGTCAGGTCAGGTCGACCAGATTCTTTCTTATATTCATCCTTCTATTTTGGAACCAGATTTTTATTTGTCTTTCAGATAATTTTAATCTCTCCGCCAGATGAATCCTTCGGGGTCTCGTAAGATATTTACCTCTACTGAATTCTCGGTCGAGTTCAAAAATTTGTTAGGACGTAGATGCCGTGCGAGCCCTTTTCGGAGTAAACTTAGGTTGCTGAGTTTCCTGTTGGACGGCACCTGAACAAGTTTGTGTTAAAATTTATAAACTATGAAAATCTTAATTGTAAACTTACTTGTAGTGACTTGGCTGGTGCTCGGCTGTTGTTAAATGGGCAGATTGTATTGCTGAGATGCATAACTCCAGTCAGGTCAGGTCAGGTCAGGTCAGGTCGACCAGATTCTTTCTTATATTTCATCCTTCTATTTTGGAACCAGATTTTTATTTGTCTTTCAGATAATTTTAATCTCTCCGCCAGATGAATCCTTCGGGGTCTCGTAAGATATTTACCTCTACTGAATTCTCGGTCGAGTTCTAAAATTTGTTGGGACGTATATGCCGTGCGAGCCCTTTTCGGAGTAAACTTAGGTTGCTGAGTTTCCTGTTGGACGGCACCTGAACAAGTTTGTGTTAAAATTTATAAACTATGAAAACCTTAATTGTAAAGTTACTTGTAGTGACTTGGCTGGTGCTCGGCTGTTGGTAAATGGGCAGATTGTATTGCTGAGATGCATAACTCCAGTCAGGTCAGGTCAGGTCAGGTCAAGTCGACCAGATTCTTTCTTATATTTCATCCTTCTATTTTGGAACCAGATTTTTATTTGTCTTTCAGATAATTTTAATCTCTCCGCCAGATGAATCCTTCGGGGTCTCGTAAGATATTTACCTCTACTGAATTCTCGGTCGAGTTCTAAAAGTTGTTGGGACGTATATACCGTGCGAGCCATTTTCGGAGTAAACTTAGGTTGCTGATTTTCCTGTTGGACGGCACCTGAACAAGTTTGTGTTAAAATTTATAAACTATGAAAATCTTAATTGTAAAGTTACTTGTAGTGACTTGGCTGGTGCTCGGCTGTTGGTAAATGGGCAGATTGTATTGCTGAGATGCATAACTCCAGTCAGGTCAGGTCAGGTCAGGTCGACCAGATTCTTTCTTATATTTCATCCTTCTATTTTGGAACCAGATTTTTATTTGTCTTTCAGATAATTTTAATCTCTGCGCCAGATGAATCCTTCGGGGTCTCGTAAGATATTTACCTCTACTGAATTCTCGGTCGAGTTCTAAAAGTTGTTGGGACGTATATGCCGTGCGAGCCCTTTTCGGAGTAAACTTAGGTTGCTGAGTTTCCTGTTGGACGGCACCTGAACAAGTTTGTGTTAAAATTTATAAACCATGAAAATCTAAATTGTAAACTTACTTGTAGTGACTTGGCTGGTGCTCGGCTGTTGGTAAATGGGCAGATTGTATTGCTGAGATGCATAACTCCAGTCAGGTCAGGTCAGGTCAGGTCAGGTCAGGTCAGGTCAGGTCACCTGGGGTGGCTAACTACCAGGCGCGTCCCCCGGGTGGCGGATAGGGGAGTGGCCATTTTGCGTAAGGAAAATGGTTAGTGTCGGCTATAAGCACGGTGAGAGGTATTAAAACCCCCCAATATCCGTGTGAAAACCAACACCGCGGACCACCCTCAGTCATCACACTAGATGGCTGGTTTCTTTCATCTTCTCTCCCACTCTCCTTCTTCTATGCGGGTGGTAGGCTTTAAGTTTTTACTCTCGGCCTCTCTTGGCCACCATACTTGTATTCAGACCCCGACGCCATTAGGTTTCCGAGGGCTAGGGGTCTCTCCTTTCCTTTTCTTATCTACCAGACCTCTATTAAAACCAGGAAGCGTCTGTCCCATAATGGGCGGCTCCCCTGGTCAGCGTCTGACCCGGAGCGGGCGGCTGAAGAAACGCTGGCAGGAGCTCTAAAATGCTTAAGAAGCAATAATGGATCTTAATAAAATGAAAGAAACTAACGCGCAGTCGGAACTCGGAACTGACAGTCCCGGCACGGGGAGGTGGTCGAGCAGGCCGATCCCGGGTCGTCATCCAGAGACTGCGAGGCGTTTGTGGTGGGTGACCAGGCCACAGCGTCTACTAGTGAAACTGGAAGAGAAGAGAAAATGATTAGTGAGACGCTCGTTATCGACACAGAAAAAGAGATTTTCGCAAGGAAACCCAGAGTAGTAAGGTCTCCGGCTAAGGAGATAACAAGAGAAACCACAGAAGAATCCGTTCTCTTAACACCTACAAGGGTTAGGGCCGCAACATGGGGATGTAGCGTGAGAGCAGCTGTCGCCCAGATGGAAGGCGAATATGCCAAGAAAAGGAAATATGCTGAGGATAGCCCACCAAAGACGCAAGTTACGAGCATGACAGAGGTTGTAACACTGGCAGCTCAGTTAGGTGTTGGTGATGGGTTCATATATATATATATTATTATTTGGGTGCCAAGTAACTTACCTATGCCGTGTCACGCCGACTTAAGTTACTGAAAGTCTTTTTTTTTATTTACACTCTGTGCACTGGAAGAGGGTCAAATTAAATTCGGTCAGATTTGATTTACTAAGTTTAATGAAAATTAAAAATTGACTTCAAAGTAATTATAAAATGATCACAAAAAAAATGAAAGAATTATAATAATTAATTATTGTGCAAAAGTTGTAAAAAAAGTTATAGAACTTGCGAAGCAGCTTAAAATTAATAAAGTTAGTAACCTTAATTAAATTAACTGAAGTAACTTAGATGAATATTATACAAAATAAAGTTAAATTCTAAGTGAAATTTATAAAGTTGAAAGCATATATAAAAACAATTCTTACTAATGCTGATAGTAAGCGATAGCGATAAGTCTAAGATATTGAAGCGATAAAAAAACTAAAAAAACTTAACATGGAAAATTACCATGTGGAGAAATAATATGGAATAAGATGGAATTATAATATAACGAATCTACAAAATAGCGCTAACACGTGCCGTTATAACATGACGGCCCTTAAGGATGTTATTAAATATTATTTTGACCACTCAGTACTGATTGGCGCTTTAAGATGTAAAAAAAAACTTATCTGACTACTAATTATTGTACGCAAAGAGATAGAATTAGAAATTTCAATTAAAGCGAAACTAGAATTTTACAATAGTTCTAAGGCGACAAGAACGGTAAAGGACTTAGCTGGTTGTAGATCCAAGGACGTCTGTAGCTGGTGAACTAGCAACGTTCTCACAGGCGAAGCAACTGCGATCTGCCCCGGGAAGTTGATAGCAGCGATCTGGAGTTGTTCGGAAAGCGAAATTCAGCGTCTTTCTTGACTTAGATTTTGGAAAATCTCTCAATTCCAATATGGCGACGCAAAAAAAACAACGATAATTACTTTGAGAAGGCCTCAAACGATATTCTCTGGAGTTAAGAGGTTCAACAACGATACTTGGTTGAGTTACACAACCTTAAACGGTACGAAAAACGATAGGTAACGGTAATCGGCACTAAGATTTCAGGACTCCTCCTGAACCGCAGAACACAACTTCACTCGCCGAATCACCACGACCGAATCCCTTCAAAATGGAAGACTTCCTCCACCATCCCCTCTTAAGGAAGATATTTTAGGTTCGCGTAGGCTTATAATTATCGTGGTTAATGAGATGTTGTTAGTACTAGTCGCAAAAGAATTAGAGTGAAGAGAAGAAGCGTGAAGGAAAAGTGATAGTAAAGTAAGAATGGAAAGATAGAAGAAGGGTTGCACTGTTTGGGGTGTCGACAAAGAGTGAAAAGGAAGGGAAGACCTTCCCCAAAACAGTACAACAGTACTCTGGGAAATAGAAGAGAGAAGACGAGAGGAAAGATAAAAGTGTAAAGAAGAGATTTGAGTGGTATGGCACCCAGGAGTGCAGAGTGACACCCCCTGTGGCTTATAGCAGCCACCCGCTAAAATGGAAGGGGTAACAGGCGTAGCTCCAGCCGTCCCATATCGGCTGGCGCCAAAAACAGAAATGAAAACGGTAAGACAACCTGAAAATCCGGAGAAAAACAAACATATGCAACCAGTTATACTTAATTACTTAATTTGACTACCGCAACTCTATTATACATTCTTTTAGGCCCTTTTCTCTTTTTTTTTAGTTGTCTTTTATGGTGTTCAAGACAGATGTTAAGTACCCAAGCATTTGTGTGGCCCTTTAAAATACGCCCCACACACCGGCACGTAAAAGTAGCATGCTACAAGGTAGAACACAAACTTATCTCGAAACTGAGGTCTAAGACAGATGACCTTAATAAATTTGTCAAGGAGAACAAAAACGTACATAAGGAGATTAAAGTATGGGCGACAGAAATAAATAGTATAGTTAATAGGGTGACTAATGAGTATAAGAATGAAAAGGAAGTGATATCAGAAAGACGGCAGAAAGCAGAGGAACGCATAAAGAACCAAGAAGAAATAATAAGGACACTTAAACATGATATTATTTATATGAAAGAAGAGCAAATCCGGCATCTGGAACAAATAAAAAAGTTAGAGAAAGAGCTCTCCAGACAAGTGAGTAAAGAGGGGCAGAATGGAGGAACAATAGAACCACAGTTCGATTTAAACGAAATAGAAATATCTACGTATGAAGAGTTCATTAATGTACAGGACAAAAATTGGACCCCATCTAGTTTTGTATGTACAGAAATTAAGACGAAAGACCCGGCAAAGTGTAATGATGGAAATATGATCCTTTTCATGGACATAGAACCTAAACGAAGGACAAGAGTAAGTAAAATGTTTCTGAACAGATATCCAGAACTTTTACATGGAGAAAAAATCGAATGTCAAGGAGGAAGCTATGTCGCAATTGAACAGACTGTATCTTACCTAATACAAAAAACACAAAAGAAGATGACAAGAAGACTAACGACTGTATATTACGACCCAACCAAGCAAGACGGTAGGACGGAACAAGATGTTTTCCATATACTAAAGGGAATGACAAAAATAATAAACACGGCGGAGGAAAAGATGGCGACGATAGTCTGCCCGGTAGGTATACTCGGTGAGAAATTTAGAAAAATGGTAGAAGTGAATTATCACAATATGGGATACAAAATCAATATAATATTGAGTAGACGAAATGATAAAGAAGAAGAGAGACAAAGGAAAAAAAGAGGAGAAGCAATCCTCATACGAAAAGATGACTCCGTGTCATATGCTGATACAGTAAGGAAACTAAAAGAAGGGCTGAAAGAGGAACAGCTAGTTAAGGAAAATATAAAAGGAGTACGGAAAACAAAAAACGGGGAACTTCTTATCAAGATAGCAAAAGAGGACACAAAGACAAATGACAAGATTAAAGAGATATTCGAAGGACGGAAAGCAATCTCGTTAGGAGGAGTCAGAATAAAAGTACTCCATGTAAGAGACCTAGACATTACAATAGAGACGGGGGAGATAGAGGAAGCATTGAAAGACGCAGGATATATTAGTACACCCGAAAAATTTATTGTTAAATCAGTTCGACCTACTAAAAATGAGAATAAAATTGCAACGTTATTAGTAGCAGAAGAAGACGCCAATAAACTATTAAAAATGAGCAAAGTCAAGATAGGCTTTGAGATCTGTTGAATAGAAGAAAGAATAACACTGAGAAGATGCTACAAGTGTTGGCAATACGACCATCAAGCCAAGGAATGCACGGGTGAAGACAGAAAGGACATATGCCAGCGGTGCACGAAAGAGGGGCACAAAGCCAGAGACTGCCAAGAGATACCTTATTGCCCATTGTGCAACGAACAAGGACATCAGGCTGGAAGCGGTAAGTGCAGGTCCTTTATAAGGGCCTTGGCCGCTGCCAAAGACAAAAGGAAAAAATAAAATTCAAGCTGTTACAGCTAAATGTGAACCGTAGCAAGGCAGCACACGATGTTGCCTATGCAACGGTCAAAAGAGACAGCTACGACTTTATGATTGTCTCGAACCCAATATATCTATGTGCAGCAGGAAAACTAATATCTATATGAATAGAGAAAAAACCACGGCCATAATCAAGATTAGCTTAAATCAGCAAGTCATCAATATCCAGATGGGGAACTGTTACGTATGTGTAGAAACCAGAGAGTATGTGATGTTTAGTGTATACATAAGTCCTAATAGCTCTTTTGAAACCTTTTTGGAAAATTTGAAAGAATTACAAAATGCGGTGTTGGTAACGAAGAAGTTAGATAAGAAATTGATAGTGGCCGGAGACTTCAATGCTAAACATATGTACTGGGGAGGCAAAGTAACAGATCGTAGGGGAGAAACAGTATTGGAATGGACATTTACTCTGGACTTGAATATACTCAATGATGGAAAAGAACCAACACTCATACGACCTAATGGAATTTCATATGTAGATCTGACTATAGTTGATAACAATATAATGGATAAGAACCCGAGATGGTGTGTGTTGAAAAATGAATTGTCACTGAGCGATCATCAAGCCATAAAACTAGACATTACGACAACGCAAACACGAATAAATACATATAGATACGGCAATACTAACTTAGAAAAGATGGAGAGAATATTTCGAGATAATATATCAAACTACGCGGAATTGGGAACATGCAGGGAAGAACTAATTAAAGCTTATGAACAGAGCACTCCTCGCGTAAGAGTAGATAAAGGAGGTGGCATGCCGTACTGGTAGACTGACTCCATACAAAGATTGATTCCTGAAGTGCACAAGAAAAGAAAAGAATTCCAAAAGGAGATAAGATCGGAAGAGCAACGAACAATAAAGAAAAACATGTATAAAATCGCAAAGAGGAAACTGTGCAAAGAAATAGCTGCTGAAAAGAAAAAGGGATGGAAAGAACTCTGCGATCGGCTAGATGAAGATGTATACGGAGATGGCTACAAAATAGTGATGGCACAATTACGATATACGGCACCAAAAATTGCACTAACTCCCAAAGAACGCGTCACTCAGTTTAACAAACTCTTTGTGACCGATATCGACACATTTCCGAAACAACAAAAAGAAATTGAAGAAAATAAACAATTAATAACGGCGGAAGAACTACAAGCGGCAACGAGGAAAATCAAATCAAGAAAAGCACCCGGACCAGATGGACTTCCACCAGAGGTGATTAAACATATAGTTAACGCAAACTCAGAATATTTTCTTCGAATCTTTAACCAGATGCTGAACGACAATATTTTTCCGGATATCTGGAAAATTACGAAGTTGATACTGCTAGAAAAACCGAAAAAGAATCCTCAGGACCAAACCAAGTACAGGCCTATTTGCTTGATATACGCATTGGCGAAGGTTTATGAAAATATAATAAATACGCGACTAATAACGGAGATACAAAGATTCAGTGAATATCAATTTGGGTTTCGACAAGGTAGGACGACAGTAGATGCCATTACTAAGGTGGTACAAACAGCCAGAGAAGCTAAAAATAAAAACATGTGGTGTGCCCTTATAACAATCGATATCAAAAATGCATTTAATCAGGCCTCTTGGGAGAAGATAACAACTAAATTAGAGAACCGCGGGGTGAGCGAGTACTTGGTCAACACGATAGCGTCGTATTTATCCGAAAGGAAAATTCAAATTTCCCCAAAACAAAAAGAACACATAGGGGGTGGCGTTCCACAGGGTTCGGTTCTCGGACCGACCATGTGGAACGTCCTGTACGACGACATATTCGAATGCACAACGGTAGAAGGAACGAGTATGCTAGGGTATGCGGATGATTTAGCCGCTCTGGTTACTGCAACCACAAAAGAAAACTTAATGATCAAAGGAGATGAAGTGTTGCATTCAATTAGACTGTGGCTACTACGAATAAACTGGAAGTAGCGAAGGATAAGGTTATGGCAATAGTCCTGAATAATAGAAATGACAAAGACATATATTTTGAGTTAGACGATACGACAATTACAACTGTTAAAAAAGTAACATATTTGGGCGTAATATTAGACAGAGGTCTTACCTTTGGTCCACATCTCAGACATGTTTGTGGCAAAGCGAGTAGGACGGCAAACGCAGTCTCTGCCATACTTCCTAATATTCGAGGTCCCAGGGGTACGAAACGAAGGGTACTGGCTCTCTCGATGCAATCAGTCCTGCTGTATGGTGCACCTATATGGGCAGAAGTCACAAATAAAGTTGTACATCGGAATATTATATTAAGAGCTCAAAGAATAATGGCACTCAGAGTAGCATCGGCATATAGGACGGTCTCAACAGACGCCGCTATGGTGATCTCGAGCCTGGTACCCGTACACCTTCTCGCACAAGAACGTAAGAGGATTTATGAAAGGAAACAAAAAGGGGAGGAAATAAACAGGCAAGAGGAGAGAGATAGGACAATCGGTATGTGGCAAGCAGAGTGGGATGCATCAGGGGCAGGCAGGTGGACTTACAAGCTAATTCCAAACATCAGCAATTGGGTGAAGAGAAAACACGGCGAAATTACCTTTTATCTAACTCAGATACTAACAGGCCACGGGGTGTTTGCAACATACAGGAAAAGGATCAGTAAACAAGATAACAGCAGATGCGTGTATTGCGAGGAGGAAGAAGATAATCCGAAACACACAATAGTACACTGTAGAAGATGGCAACAACAGCGAGAGGAGCTTATAAGATGGGTAGAAGGTGATTTAGAGTTGGAGAAAGTGATTGAAGCCATGCTGGGAGACGAGAACACTTGGAAAAATATTAACAACATAATAGTGACAATAATGCGGCAAAAGGAAGAAGACGAAGTTAGGAAAGAAAAAGAAGTAGGATGAAAGACAAGGCGCCTGTTGGTGTAAGGTCCAAACGACGGGGACACCACAGTAACGCCAGGAGGAGAGAGGAGTTTTAGTGGGTATACAATCTCTAGAGAGATTGGAGTCCCACACCACCCCCGTACCTGGAGGCGTGCGTAAAGCATTTCTCCTCGTTTATAAAAAAAATAAAAAAAAAAAAGTTCAGGCCAGGTCAGGTCGACCAGATTCTTTCTTATATTTCATCCTTCTATTTTGGAACCAGATTTTTATTTGTCTTTCAGATAATTTTAATCTCTCCGCCAGATGAATCCTTCGGGGTCTCGTAAGATATTTACCTCTACTGAATTCTCGGTCGAGTTCTAAAAGTTGTTGGGACGTATATGCCGTGCGAGCCATTTTCGGAGTAAACTTAGGTTGCTGAGTTTCCTGTTGGACAGCACCTGAACAAGTTTGTGTTAAAATTTATAAACTATGCAAATCTTAATTGTAAACTTACTTGTAGTGACTTGGCTGGTGCTCGGCTGTTGGTAAATGGGCAGATTGTATTGCTGAGATGCATAACTCTAGTCAGGTGCGGGTACCTGTAACTTTTGAAACACGTAAATATGGAAAAAATGGTTTAGCAATGGTTAATTTAGAAATCAATATCTGTTTATTATTTACCATTTGATTGGTTTGTTGAAAGTCAAAATTATAGTTTACGACGCCAGGAGTACCAGCACCCAAAGCGTTGAAATTTGGAATAAGTGAACTGCAGGTGAAGTCTCCTGACATGGCCATGGTGAAGATACGCGAAGGTGCTAATGATAACTGAGCTTCTCTACAAATTGCGGGGATTATATACGTTTTCCCACCCCTTTTTTTGGAAGCAGACTTTTACTTGTTGTTTGGACAATTTCAGTCTCCCCGCCAGATGAATCCTCAGCGACCTCGTGAGACATTTATCTCTATTGAATTCTCGTCTATTGAATTCTCGTTCGAGTTCAAAAAGTTGCTGAGAGGTATATGCCGTGCGAGTCCTTTTCGTGGTTAAGTTGGTTTCTTGGGTTTCCTGTTGGACAGCACCTGAGCAAGTTTGTGTTAAAATTAACAATCTAGGAAAATCTTAATTGTAAACTTACTTGTAGTGGGTTGACTGTTGCTCAGTTGTCGGTGGATGAGCAGGTTGTAATATTGAGATGGATAATTCCAAGCAGGAGCGGGTACCTGTAATTTTTGAAACAAGCACGTAAATATGGAAAAAATGGTTTAGCAATGGTTAATTTAGAAATCAATATCTGTTTATTATTTACCATTTGATTGGTTTGTTGGAAGTCAAAATTATAGTTTACGACGCCAGGAGTACCAGCACCCAAAGCGTTGAAATTTGGAATAAGTGAACTGCTGGTGAAGTCTCCTGACATGGCCATGGTGAAGATACGCGAAGGTGCTAATGATAACTGAGCTTCTCTACAAATTGCGGGGATTATATACGTTTTCCCACCCCTTTTTTTGGAAGCAGACTTTTACTTGTTGTTCGGACAATTTCAGTCTCCCCGCCAGATGAATCCTCAGCGACCTCGTGAGACATTTATCTCTACTGAATTCTCGTCTGTTGTATTCTCGTTCGAGTTCAACAAGTTGCTGAGAGGTATATGCCGTGCGAGTCCTTTTCGTGGTTAAGTTGGTTTCTTGGGTTTCCTGTTGGACAGCACCTGAGCCAGTTTGTGTTAAAATTAACAATCTAGGGAAATCTTAATTGTAAACTTACTTGTAGTGGGTTGACTGTTGCTCAGTTGTCGGTAGATGAGCAGGTTGTAATATTGAGATGGATAATTCCAAGCAGGAGCGGGTACCTGTAATTTTTGAAACAAGCACGTAAATATGGAAAAAATGGTTTAGCAATGGTTAATTTAGAAATCAATATCTGTTTATTATTTACCATTTGATTAGTTTGTTGGAAGTCAAAATTATAGTTTACGACGCCAGGAGTACCAGCACCCAAAGCGTTGAAATTTGGAATAACTGAACTGTTGGCGAAGTCTCCGCCGTTACACGAAGGTTTTAATGTTAACTGAACTTCTCTACAAATTGCGGGGATTATATACGTTTACCCACCCCTTTCCAAAGATTAGTAATCGGTCGCTTCAACTCTATTGGTTAAGATAACAACGTTTGACCACTCAGAAGTGAGGGTCCAGTTGAAGAGAACAAAGTTCTGGTGCATGAGCAGAAGGTGGAGGGGTTTATTTATTGTAATCCACCACGACGCCGATAACCAACACGGTGGTCTGGCAAAGGCATTTCCCCTCCCACACATAAAAAAACATTTTTCTTGTTTTCATATCAAATCCAATACAATGTATATTTCATGTTTCCATATTTCAGAGTGTTAATTGACTAGAGTCTGACCCGTCGAAAAAATTAGTTTTTTTATAAGTATCAATTCAATTCTCGCAAAAGCTTACTATAGCGTTAATATGCGTGAATATTCTAATGATTCTAATTTATAAAAGAAATTATGGCTTTTGTGTATAAATACAACATTAAAGGACCAGTATATATAGTATTTTAACTGAGATTAACTTAATTGCGCATTTAACGAGGCGTTTAGCTGTGTCTGATTGGCGTAGAGTGGTCACGTGGTTACGTTAAACGCGTATTAAAAATTTAATCTCAATCCAATATTTAATCAAACTCCTACAAACCGGGTCTAAGTATATTTGCCATTTTTGATCTAAGCTATAATTTAAAATTAATTAACACACATAATAATATCAGTTGCTTTAGTGTTAATTGACTAAAATTATAGTCAGTCTATACGTAATCATGAAAGCAATTTATTTTCTCCTATTTTTTTTACAAAAATGTAGGAAAAAAATGTTAGAAATCTGGTTCCACTAGGAATATGCATGTTGAAGAAAAGTTAAGTTTCTATACTTGTTTGTGTGTGCTGTTTATCCGCATTCAAAAACAAGGTGACTAATATGTTTGTGTAACGATTTACAAATTTTTCTAAAACATTGGAATACTGTTGACGATATTTTCATAAAGGGCACCAGTTCTTTTGTGTGTTTACGGAGCAATTAAAATTAAATTAACTGAAGAATATAAAAACTAAAGTTGGGGATTTAAATTTTAAATTTGATTTTCGTGGAATGTCATTGGTTTGAATGTCGAGAATTATTATCTTTAAGGCTCCACCACACCTTAAGAAAATTTCTATTTTAAAAGATATGCAACTTGTTAAACAACCCATGCTACCTCGTTTTGACAGCTGTCACTCATCTCTGAGGATTAAAATCGTTCGCTTCGTTTACAATAGTTTTATTACTGGTATTGTCAGCTGGGACAAGGAACTAAAATATGTATCTACTACGAAAGAAAACACTATTTCTCAGCTTACGCTCGGGTAGTAAAAATGCAAAAACACGTCGATTGGTATATAAAAATTGCCATTTTGTAATATTAGTTTCAAAAGTTTTGAGCGATATTTGACAGGTGGATGACGTCATCGATAATTTTTTAAATAGTACTTTTTTTTAGCATAAAGTCCCTTGAAAGAGAATTTTTGATATGTGGTTTAACCTAATTTACTGTCATAAGAAATGAACAAAACCAAGTGTGTGTTTTAAAATAAATTAATAAAATCATTGTCAGAGACTGTTGAGATCTTTACTCGCAATACACATAACAAAAAAATGCTTGATCATATATATATAATTCCGACCATAATTCTTACTCTCATTTTTAAATTCCTGTTTCCATACAAATTCGTACGTGTTGGGCATATTCTGTAAGTAGGTAGGAAAGTAAAATTAAATTTCCAAGAATATTTTATTATACGTTACTGTGAGTATTTCTTAGTAATCTTGGAATTTTTCAACCCAAAATCTTAGAAATTAAGGTACCTAGTTACCTCTCGGAATGTATTTTGAATGAAGCAAATTGGTCGAAGGTTATTTCGACAGAACTTCTCTCGCCTCTGAAATACAATAAAACAAACCCAGCTTTTTCGAAAAATTATAAAATTTGATTATGCGAATTTTATTTTTTATGAGAACAGTGCAGGAGTATCTTATTTTATAGAATTTAAAAAAACTTTGTATTATAAATTTTGGAGATGACGTCATCCCATTGATGGTGGAGATGATTTGCCAAATTTTAGTTAGCGTTTAACCATCTACATGATATTTTTAATATACATATAAAATATAGCAATAATCGATCCAGTAGTTTCGGAGAACACTTATCTAATAAAAAATGGATACAGACACCAGACAGACAGACGGACATACGGAAACGGGAGACCACTTTTTTCGTACTCTAGAGGTCATGACACGTCAAGAAATTAGTACTGGACGTAGAATTGTTGACATAGACCACTTATTAACAACACTGAAATCAGTTAGTCATAATATGTTGGGTTGCACTTTAGATAATATTGAAACAACTCATGAAAACTGTTATGGTTTAAAAAGTGTTTTCTACTGCAAATGTAATATGTACGGAATATTCGGTAATTTTTGTACTGAGCCATAGATATCCTTCAAATACCCCAGGCGACATGTCGTAAAGCCGAGGCTAGAGTTCTAAAGAGCATCGAAGCATTTTTTGAAGAACAAACCAAAACGCAGGTAAAGAAGAGTACCGATTAGCTGTGGAGGCAAGGGATATGCGTCACATGTATTACCGTTATTGTCGATGGAGCTTGGAGCAAACGCTCTTATAAATCCAATTACAATGCACTGTCTGGGGTAGGACGCATAATTGGTTCCAGAACTAAAAAAATACTTTATGTTGGAGTAAAAAACAAACTTTGTAGTTTCTGTAAAATCTATATGAAACAGAAAAAAGAAATTCCAACACATAACTGTTTTAAAAACTGGGAGCAAACATCTATGTATGTCCATAGAAGCTTCAATTATCTTAGAGGGATTTACTTTAGATACTTTATAGGAAAAAAGTAGGCGACGAGGATAGTAGCGTATTAAAAAAAGTTCGGGCTGCAAAACCAAATGGTGCATATTATTTTATAGAAAAAATGGAATGTAGAAATCACGTACTTCGTAATTATGTTCCAAAATTAGAGAAATAGTTAAAACAGCGAAAGCAGATATCACTATTAAAAATGTCCTTAAAAATAGTATTCTAAAATTTAGAACAGCTATTATAAGTGCTATCAAATTTAGCAAAAATGAGCCTCTTCCTTTTTTTTTTCCAGCATATATTTGGCAATCACGAACAATGTGCAAGCTATTTTTGTTATAAAAGTGGACAGTCAAATGATATTTTATTTTCTACTTTCGCAAATGGTGTTTTATACGAATCTAACAAACAAGTTTTAAATAGAGTTGCAACTTTGTCGTTTAGTTTACTTTTTGATTTTGAGAACAATACTGTGGAATGCTACAATTCTGTCGTTAATAAATTTGTGGGAGGAAATTTTTCTGCACGATAATAATAAGGGTACGTTCCTAATCCCATTATTCAAAAAAAATTTTGGGGAGGCCAATGTTAAGTATATGAAGGCGTTTGCGGAAAAAAATTGAAATAATAAAAACGATTAATCAAACTAAAACCTCTATTAAAAATTGCGTATCCGAAGTGCGGATTCCGGCAAAAACAATAGCGTCGACGATGAACAAACGAAAACTGCAGATATATTACCTGAACTGTATGAAAGAAAAAAATCGGATTTATTAATAAAGCTGTCACAGAGTAACGTAAACGCTATTGAAAAAGGTACTTGTGGCCAGCGACTGTGTAGTGAATGGAGTAAAGAAAGGACAAAATGAGAGATGGAATTAACACCGCAAATACCGTTAAAAGTATTGTGCATTCCGATAAAACTTTAATAAAAAAATTGTCCAAGTCTATACAATTTGGTACTGACAATGAAGAAAATGCCAAAGAAAAATTTGAAGCTCTAACAAATTTGAAAGAAATTTTTAGGAGCTTCTCCAGATGGGTTAATAAATTCTAATTCAGTTGCAGAGATTAAATGTTTATATGCGGTTTGCAGTAAAAATATTAAAGAAGCTATTAAAAATAAAATCATTAATTATTGTTCAATAAATGCAGATAATACAATTAGTTTGAACCCTAACCACAACTATATGTATCAGGTATAACAGGGTCCACTGCATATAAATAAAAGAAAATGGTGTTATTTTATCATCTACACTAACGTAGATTTAGAATATTTTTTGATTGAAAGAGATGATGATTTCTGGAATAAACATATGGTAAATCCATTAGAAAATTTTTATGTAAATGCCATGCTACCAGAAATTGTTGACTCGTGGTGGAGTCGAAATCAGCAACTCCGAAATATATCGAAAAAAGATTTATACACAAATGTTAAGTTTTTTTTTTGGTTTTTGGTTGCTTTTTTGTTATTATTTTTATTTTATTAATATGATTTTATTGATGATGATATTTTCCTGTGAATATTTAATATTTAAATGCAGTGTATAGAGGCAGGGATGTCAGAACTCTGTTTACAAAAGTCACAAAACGCAAAACGATTACACCTTTTTGCTATCTATAAATTTCTGCTTGAAAATTCTTTGGTATCATAAAATCTATCTCTCCCTTTCGTACTGTCGGAGCCAACGTACCAATACTCAATATTCGGCGCCGGATTAAAAAACCAACCGCGTCAGCCAGTTTATATGTACCCGTTTCCATTTGTGCAGTATAAGTACTCCTCTCTTAGGAATTGTAGTAATTTATAGCTGCAATTTTATTTGCTTTACTGCACATATTGTCATAGACACATCCTACATCCCTAATATAGCTTGAATAAATGTATTCCAATGATAAAATTCCAATTAATTAATATCATTCATTTAATTAAAAGGGGGAATCATATCAAAACAACAACGTAGAAATGTCATCATATTTCTGTAAAAATTTTATTCGCCTTTATCCTTCTTAATGCTATTGTCAGGTACTTCAAAGGATGGTCAAATAATCTTAAGGTGTTTAAAAGGTGCTGTATTGTGTGGGCCATAAATTACAACTTATCGCCTCAGCTAATATTTTGGGTTGCCTAACTTACCAAAATTTGCCCCAAAGGCTTTGCAGTTTTTTTACAATCCCTAAAAAAAATAAAATTTTAACACAAAAAGGAAAATGGCGCCTAAAGTAGAAAAAAATTCTCCCTCACCTCGATAGTTTTTAAAAGCACACCGAGTTATAGTTTTCGCAAAAAATCCGCTCGGTTTTTTTATTTTAAAAACTGCTACGTTTTTTAAAAAATACAATACTCTTCCTTACAAATTTTTGTCATAAGCACGCAGATGTAGCGCCCTACTCTTCAACTGTTAAAATGAAGGCGCAAAATGGGTTGGCGATTTGCTTATTTTGGCATCTTTTAATGACTGTGTGGAGGAGCCTTAACAATGCACAAGCACCGACAGAAAGCTACAATGATGGCAGGTATTTAAAATATGACGGTTTCGATGAAGAGGTGATTAGGTGGTTCAACATTAGTGGGCCTCACTATCACTACCAAAATTTGATTTTCGTGGAATTAGTGCTGTCAACCAGAAAAATGTTCCGCCTACTCCAGGGAATTTTCTTTCAAGTTGACAACACTGCACCACCTCAATTTGATTAGTTGAAAACCCAACCTCAACGGCAACGTAACGGCGAAAAATAAAAGTTGGTCATCTCGAACGTCATCCCAACGGCGTGCCAACTTCCAACGGCAACGTCAACGGCGAACAGCAACGTCAGCGTCAAGTTTATAAATCGACCTTAAGTCATAAACTGCCCCAAACATTGACAGATTCCAGGCTTTCTCAAACGTCGGTCGCTTGACAGATGATAATTCTCAAAAATCACTGCCACAAAGGAGCAAACGTTTCGTTTTGTTTTATTAATTGTAAATACTTAATAAAGCATTAGGTTACCTTTAAAAAAATGCTATTTAAGTTTCTCTTTTACATGTAAATGCAGTGTCTCGAAGGTTTTAACGTCACTGCTTTAAGCATTGAATAAATCGCTACATCATACAACCATCCTGAAAGTGTACTATGATTTTCTTGTTCCAACTCGTTTGCCCTATACTGAAAGACACCCTTAAGTTCAACGCTTACCGGCGAAAAAAAGGGAATAGCTTGTTCTTTAACAAAAGAAGCTCGGTAAAAGCCTACTTACTGGGTGATAATTGTTGATTTACAATCACCCTGGTTTATGGCTTATGCGAACGGAGTTCTGAAATAGACTATAACACTAATTTCAACTAAATGTTACACTTATGTGATGATTGGTAGTTAGTCCACTTATTCCCTTATCGATGGTCTACAAAAAATTTAAACAATGCAATTCCTGTTGGAACTGGCCCACTATAAGAACGCTCGAGATGCAAGCACGAATGACGTCACGCCTCGTTCGCTTTTTCAGTTCAATGTTTTATTACAACGTTATTTATAAACCTATAAACAAATGGTTTGCATTTTGGAAAACTAGATTTTTTGAACATTTTTTTAAGTTAATGTGTCTGAACCACTTCACGGCCCCTTTAAGGTCGCTCCAAAGGACAAAATTTGACGGATTAAATTTTAGGGACCAGTAAATTCGCAATTATTGATCATACACTGTAGACTTAAAACTATGTATAAGGAAGACACCCTGTACGTCGTTTTATATAACTTCTAATTAATATTTATTTTTCAAAATTTTAATAAATATTTTTATAAATAGATACAGCTGCAGGGTCTTACATGAAAAATCAAAAATGAAAATGCTATTGCCAGTATTTAAAACACGAGGGAATAAAATAAAGGTTTTAGAAAATTGTTGATCATGCTAAATAACGGCCTATGTGCCGCGAACATTAACCAGTTTTACATTTGTTCATTTATCGTTGGCAAATATATTGTTTTTCTTTGTAAAAAAAAATTGGGTGGGATATTTGATTACAAATTCTCAGTATCTGAGTATGGGAGATCCTAAGGTGCCTTAAAAGTTAAGCCTGTCACTTTTGCTTGCCTTGAGTATACTTAGTAAATCTTTGCAGCGTCATTAACGAACAATAGCGAACAACTGAGTTTACTATACGGTCATATATTTCAAAGACAGAGGTCCAAGTAAGTAGACAGATTTACAACGATGGGTGGTTAAACGTCATTGAAATTAGTGAAAGTGCACACTGCGCCCTACATATCTGTTCAACTAATACCGTGTAAGAATTTTACCTACATCATCCTTTATGTCTGAGGTATTTAAAAGACCCTACTGTGTGGGCCATGAATAATAAATTTCCATGGGAACTAAAAAGTATTTTGGGATGCTTAATCTAGCAAAAATGCTCCATTTTTGTCGAAACGTACATTGCTCAACGACTTTCAAAATAAAATAATAAAAATACATTTACCGATGGCCAGCAGAAAGCTTAAAGAATTTTTGGTTGATATTTATATTACATGTTTATGATTGTTGTGGCTAACATGATACGTATCAACAACGTATTATTTTAACCCAAGGGTTACCATAAAAAAAATAAGTCGAAGGTTATTTCGACAGAACTTTCCTCCCTTGGATACAACTCCAGCTTTTTCGAAAATCATTTGATTTTAAGAATTTAATTTTCTTATGTTGACCTTTATAAGTGAAAATAAAAATGTGTATGTAGTGTTAAAGTAAAGGCAAAGGCTACGCACTTGTTTAAAGTGAGTTTTTCCAATACAAAATTTTGTGATCACGTCATCAACATTTTTGCAAGAACCGAATATCAGTTTGGATAGATGCAGTGTAATACTAATAACAACAGTACTGTATTGCCAAATTTTCGGGAAAATGGAGTGAGTCGTCCTTAATTTAATCAATACAATAAAAATGTCTCACTCATTAATTTTTTTGGATCATCCAGTATAAGTAATTCTAAAAACTATGCGTCCATTAGTAAACTACAAGCACACAGTCATAATATTTTGCACATTTTAAATATTATTTTTTCTGAAAAAATTTGAAATGACCATCAATTTTTTGGGAGAAGATAAACGAATAAATTTTGATTAACGATTTACCAGGATTACGATAACTTTAAAACGTTTGCAAGATTTCAGGGCGTTCTGTTGTTTATGAATTCATCTTGATTTATATCGCAATTAGTTTACAAAAACTCTTGTACAATATTTGCCGCGAATTTCACGTAACCCGTATTTGACCTGACCTGACCTGACCTGACCTGACCATGATACAATAATTGGGAAGTTTTTATATCATGATATTTGCTTATCACACATAACAAGCGCATGATTGCTCAGTGGATAAGGACTTAAACTCCCATCCGCGTGCATTCGACTCCCATCCTCGTCTTCATTTTTTCTCTGCGACAATTTTTATTTTTATTTTAACAATTTTAAATGTTCAACTTCAATTGCGAAGAAAGTTCTGTATAAATAACTTTGGACGATTTTTTTTAAGCGAACAACCATATGAGATACTAAAGAAATGCAGTCATTAGTCAACAGACATAGATCGATCCGAAAAAATTATTTTATTTTTAAATGTCGTTTGCAGAACGTTTTTAGCCCCCTCGACTAATCTTTTAATTCAGCTAAGTCTCATTAACAAAATTCAAATTATCATCACCATCAACTTTAACTGAAGTACGCCTTATTGATTGCACTTTTCTATAAAAAAAGGAGTTCTGGATTAAATGATGTAGTTTCTAGTAATTGAATCATTACGTTCAAATCTATTTCCAGAATTTAAAAAAAAAAAGCTCGAACAGATCAACTTTTTTAGGGGCATATAATTTAGTAGTAAAAGGCCTGTCAATGTCAATCGGATGTCAAGAAATAAAAACATTTTAAATATTTTGAAAAAAATCTTGTTTTATATTTATGTATATTTCAAAAATGGGATGTGATAGAGGAATTCTCTTGACTGATTTCAATTTACCACATTCAGATGCATAAAAAGTAGTTTTTTTAACCAATGTTATTGCAGACTAGAAGTTTTACCGGTATGTACTTCGAGGTTTGTGCTCTTGTCTTTTCAAGGTTCTAAGTGGTAAAAAGTGGGAAATTTTCCGAGAATTTTGGAAGGTGGTTGATGACTAGAATTGTGTATCTCATGAACTAAGATTGATGCGGTTAAACTGAATGAGTTTTGAGATAGTGGGGATATTTGATGACTTCTTCTTTTTTGTGTAAGTTCACCTACACGATAAAAATTATCGCTGCTATTTCAATTAGTTTTGTACACACATCCATAAGAGTGTGGCTTACAAATTGTTTCCTGTGTTTCCTCTAATTTTTCCCTTCCGTGGTCCAGTTTGTATGTCTTATTGTTAGTCACCACGACGGACCGCGTAGGTGCAAAGAATTGCATCCTTGTTTATCCCGTTTATTTTATTCTTTTTTTATAATGACTGTCATCTGTATGAACTGTGAGGATCCTGTTACACCTACAACACGCTGTACTAAGTGTGGAACATGCAAAAAACATTCACATGTTAAATGTTTAAAACTTAGTGAGGACGAAATTGCCAAAATCATTAATAAAAGATCTCCATGGATATGTTCTAAATGTTGTTCTGCTTCCAGTTCTGCTAATGTGATATCCGCTGAATTAATTGAAGATATTATCAAGAAACAATTAACTATTATGAAACTAGAGATTCAAGCAACTATAGATGATCATTTTAAGAATATCAATGACAGACTAACAGC